GCCAATAAACACACAGGGGTGGAGGATCCAACTTAATCTTTATTGTTTCAAGTCTGCGCAGAGAGGGGTGCTTGGCGATCGTTCGCAAAGCAAGCACCACCCCATTTGGCTTGCTTCAGCCTTATATAGCTTTCTCCCACTTAACACGCTGTACCGTTACTATTGGCTGCCTTTTCTTAGCCCATGCACATATTACCTTAGCCACAGAACATGTCCATACTTGTCTGGGCTTGCCTACGTGGCATTTCTTTCCCAGCGGGCAAGCATTCCTTAACATACATATACCACACCCCTCCCAGCACCAGCAAGCTGCCTTAAGTATTCAGTTAGATATAATTTGCAAAAGCTAGATATACCATAAAAAAAGACTACATCAAGGTTAAGAAGCCTCTATGCTTGATCCGAGCCTTCAGGAGGCTGCCAACACTTTCTTACAACTGCTTTCCTCGAAACAAAAAATTCTTCAACTTTGAAGACCCAGATCTCACTCATTCACTGTAGAGTTGCAGTGAGCAATATAAAGCAAATAAGATGACTTATTTGCATACTTTTTTTTTTTTTAAGTGTACAATAGTTTTTCAGAAGGTATGATAATTTGAACTTCCAATATGATAATGTCATATTTAAGACCTGCTAAGACTGTCCCCGGGGGACTTGGCCCCCTGCATTCTGGCAGTGGACCTGCTGCCACAGCTCTGTAGCTGGCCCTGGCTCTAGGCAATCTGCTCTAGCTCTTAACAGACTCCAGGTTCTTTTTTAGGTCCAAACACAATCCCTGTCCCTACAACTGCAGCCCATTACATCTCCTCTTGCTCTTTGGGGCACAGGGGAGTTGATCACCATCATTTTCTTACAACTCACGTCGTAAGACCTCATTTTCCATTGCCTTCCAAATAAAGCTGGGACCTAGTCAGGCTGCTCTACCTTTGCTAGCAAAGTCCCACTCCACTCCCAGACAAAACAGAAAGGCAGGTAGGGGAGTCTAAAGTATCAACAGGAGGCTAATAAAATTACCAGCATCTATAACAGAGGTTGGCAACCCCCAGCATGTATGCCAAGCATGGTACGTGAGGCCATTTTCCTCGGCACATGTTGAGGCTGGGGCGGGGAGGCAGCAGCTGTCTGCAGCTCTAGGTAGCTGCTGCCAGCCAGGAGCCTGGTCTGCTCCCAGCAGGTGGCTGGGAGGTTGCAATCCCTGCTGGGAACAGCCTGGGCACCACGGCTGGCAGCAGCTACCCAGAGCTTGAGCCGGTTGCCAGAATGCATAGTGCTGCGGGAGGGCAGTGGGGCCAAGAGCAACATGCACAACCCAAAGCAGCAACTCACAGAAGGACTGCACATGGAAGCTGCCTGCTGCTGCAAGCTCCACACTACCCTGGTCATACTTCCCCTGTGTCCACAGGAGCAGCACACAGAGTTGTGCCCCTTGCTCCTGCCCCCACCTGCAGGAGAAGTGTGGCCTGGACAGCGGGGAGCTCGGAGTGACACGCAGCTTTCTGTATCCCCCTCTGCGCCCTGCCGCACAGGGTCCCACACACTGCTTTGCAGAAGCAGCATTGAGAGCAGCACAGCAGGAAGCATCACTGCTATCTGCTACCTCCCTGGAGCCTGCAGCCAGGTCTGGGAAGCAGCTGGGGCCAAAGCAAGGAGGCAGCAGCTGTTTGCAGCCTCCTGGCTAACGCCCGGGCAGGGTCTGGGTAGGCGCTGGTAGGTGTCTCCCGCCTGGCCAGGTTCTGGGTAGCTGCTGGTAGCCACAGAGCCTAGGATGGGGGACAGGGGCTTTGGGTGGGGGCAAGGGGCACAAGCAGGGCATCCTGCCATGTACCCCCTGCCCTTCTTTTGTTTTTCTGGCATGCTGGCACTCCGG